GGTAAAATAGCCCATATTTAATAAAGTATCAGCACTTAAAGATTGGCAACATTTGATGATGTCTTTAGATGATTGCCGCTATATAAAGAATTTTTCTAAAGGCAAATGCCTTTATTATATCGAGCGTCGACTGCAGTTACTAGAAGTTAGTGCCTATATTTACTGGTGGTGATTTGAAACCCTGAATTAGATGAAGATGGAAAAATCCATGTATTAGTAATTCGAGATGAAATGATAAAAATCAGGATGGAGGAAGATCAAAGAGCAAACAACTATTGAGAAAAGAAGAACAATACATATAAGCGACTTTTTAATTGAAACTTAAATTGGAGGTTGGTGAGAATTTTCCTCGTGATGCTCAAGTCATCATAGGGCCCCTGAATATACTAACAAGAACTGTGGGCAGTCAAAATGAAATTTTAGGCAAACCCGTGTAAATTTTGGCTGTAAATATATTTATGTTAGCTAAAATTGTTTTTGGAAAAAACATGCTGACTAAAAGAAAAGATTAATTATTTTTTGTTAATAAAAAAATTTTTTTAAACGTCGGCAGATACATTTAAATTGCATTTGATGATCAGAGTATCATTTTTTAAATTTTGAAGAGAATGTATATACACTTTAAATTTTATGAGCGAAAACTTGACTGTATCAAGCGGTTTTCCTCGAATGCGGTTCATCTAATGGGAGTGCGGTGTGTCCAGTGGTCCTGTTATTATATGTCTCGGAAAGAATGCCAATGGCTGATGGAATCTTGAACAGTTAATAGATCAAGTAAGGAAAAAAATATTAATATTAAATATCAAGATAATTAACTTGGTTATTATTTTTAGACTGTTAACAAAGCCATACCAATTTTTGAATCTTGGTATGGTTGTGGTATTTGCATTTGATCATTTGTTTATAATGATAAAAGGAAATGGCGATAATGAAGATAGCGATACTTACCCAAATGATAAATTACGTAGTAGTCAAGAGGATTGCGGAAGATTGGCCTGTAAAAAAATGGATAGTATATTATAGATAATATAATTATATTTGATTGTAATCATCAGAATGTAAAAATAACTATTATTTCCTTCCTATAAGTTTCTTTTGAAGAATCTTTGACTTGTTGTGTAAGACATATCTTTGTATCCCAAAACACCAAAAACCTTTACTTCGAGAATTAATTGAAGCAAGATATCATAAAGTCATCTTCTACCCAAAATTTTATTGTATTTTGGGGCTGCTAAACGATATCTTAGGCAACACTGCAATTATACGTTATGGATTGGAGAGCAAAAAGGCTTGGCTTACTAACAAGGTTTAAAATGATTGAATTAATATGAATGAATCAAAAAGATGTAATCAATTCAGATTCTTAAACTCTTA